ATAAGTAACATCGAAGAATGAGCTGGTGTGGATAATTATAAATACAAGGAATGTTACATGCAGTTTTGCAAGAACAAACACCAATTGACAGTGGCTAACGTGAATGAACTCAACTCAGTGAGTGCAAAGAGTTTATTTGTTTGCAGCATAAATCTGACTAAATATCATGTAAGGACTGCGATAGGCTGTTCTACCTGCCTGTCAACATATGTATTTGCATACCTCTGCGCATCCTGTTCGCGCAGACATGATACGAGAATGGAAGGCATTATTATTTAATATTATGCACTTTGTACTGTAATGTTTTCTCACCGTGAGGTAAGATGAGACGTGAGGTAATCTGACAGCGTTTGCATTCAATCCTCCACCAACGCCGTCTCTCATCGTGTCGCTGGTTAGCCGCTGATCTGTCTGTGCGTTCATGTGTTTTGGAGGAGGCGTGGCTTTAGAGAGTGATTTGCAGGGAGAGTGAGATCTTATGCTTTCAAAGCTAGCTTGCTATTGCTAGCCTCTCCAAAATCGCTTACCCTACCTGAATCTGAAATAAATACTTTACATTTAAGAAGCGACAAAGACGAAGCGACATTTCGTCTTTGTTTGCACACTTTACAATACCAAACTATACAATACCAAGTGCATGTGCGTTAACTGCTAGAACATGACAACTTCTCCATATTTAATAAGTAGCAATGGTTTGGTCAAATGACCATATTCTTTTACATATGTTGCCATACTATATTCATTCACTTTTAAACCATGAAATTTTTAATATTTAATAATTAGGGCTGTGAAAATAAATCGATGCATTGTGAATCAAGAAATGATTCCGCATCGATTCTGAGATTTTCTGAATGCGTCACGATTCTTTCTTGAATCGATTCTGAGCTTAGTTTTGAACAGCAGATGGCACTGCATGCTTTAGAAACAGCCGTACTCTGCTTGTTTCCAAATCCTTACACACACTTGAACCTAAAATAATCGTTCATAAAATTCGAAAAGGTTGAAGCGAATTACAAGGTGTTCACAGTGGGCTGTGTTTACATTAATCTCACATCATAAAAGCATTCTGAGGTGAGTTGAAATTACATGACTCAGCCGAAAGCACATGAGCATTTGAGTGTGCGGATAAAAACTAGATTAGAGCGCCATCTGCTGTTAAAGTCTAAGCTCAGAATCGATTTCAGAGGAATCACGATGCATTCTGAAAAGCTCTGAATCGATCTGAATCGATTTATCATCCCAGCCCTATTAATCAAAATGAGACTTTTGTTTTTTGCTAACATGGTTGATAACTGCAAGAATATGTATCTAAAAATATTTTATGCTTACTAATGGGAAATGTTTCGATAAAATGTCAGTCTACGTTTGTTTGCAGACCTTTCATTACCATGCTAAGTGCATGTTTGTTTAACGTTAGAACAATAATTCAAATTTGGTAGATGACCACATTTGTTGGCATATGTTATCATGTTTTAAGCATGTGCACTAACCACTAGGCCATGGATCTGAAAAAATTCTTCGTTTGAATAAGCAGTGATGTCTAAGTCAAGTAGCCATTTTCGTTTGCAAAACATGTATTTTAAATGTCCCATATTGTACACCTTTCTGGAGTTTTATTTGAGGTTTTGATGTCCTTAAGAATATATATTTGCGGTATAAGTACCAAAAACCATCTCAATATATTTTTACAGCTCCTTTCTCAGGAGCTCTGCTGGGAACAGGTCGATTTTGGCCTTTATAATTAATATTCATGAGCCTCTCTTCTGATTGGCCTGTTTTCTGAGTGACGCACGGCCAGGCCAACCACAGGTAACTAGGGTCAGCGACGTCACCTCGCTAGCTGGAGGCAGCAAAACAAAAGGGAAACTGGAGGCGGCCCATTCAAACCAGCGCATGCTCGGCTACATGGAACAATAGTGTAGCTGTAAAAATAGTTGCCTGCTGAAATTGAAATATATGTATATATACATCTTCATCATGACTAGGTAGACACGGTGAGTTTGTCTTTACTATACACGTTAGATGTGATCCACCTCATAGTAACAATCCTGTCAGATCGTCCATCCTTTGAGTGAGAGTGTAACGTTACAGGTCGGCCGATCTGGTTTCGTGGTTAAAGTTAACCTTTTCGGAAAGTCAAACTTTCCGTGTTGTCCTTGCTCAGCAAAAGCATGGACGCGATGTTGTCTGGGGGTTTGGCAAAAGGAGAGTGGGACTGTGGGCGGTGCTCGGGGTGGTGACTGAAGGTGGTGACTGTGTAGTTCTGACGTCAACTTTTTACGGAAGTCACAACGGTTCGTGAAAAATAGCTAGAACTTTAAGCAGGCTGTGTGAATTTTACTGTGGACTGACTGTTTTGAAACTTATATGGAAGTTAAATAGCCCCTGGACCTCAGTAATCGTGAAAAAAGCCAGGAAATTTCAGTTTTGACAATATGGGACCTTTAAAATCACTCCAACTTTGTAAATGAATACCCGCAACGTTTTTCCAGAGACAACTTGACGACCTTTCATCAGAAATGCGGTGAGTGTGTTTTAAGCGTCTGGGCTGTTGTAGCATGTGGGTAATTCTCGTTGTTTAGACTGAGGGGTTGGGTTTATGTACGGATATAGGGCACGAGTGCATTTGGGCTGCTGGATCGAGAGCCCTTGTTGTGTATTTTGAGGTCGCTTACACTGTATAAACACGCTGTAATCTGGCAGATGCACTGGATCCCGTCCAGCAGCAGTCGGAAGGGATTTTCCTCAATTTCAGGGTGTGTGTTTGCGAACTCTTCCACTTCTCTCTGCCTGTGAGAACCTTGTTTATCATACATTCTCTTCTACATTTGTTTGGGTTTGCACACGTTCACATTCGTACAAATATCTCGGACTATGTGACCTGTGACTGTGTGAGCGCATGGGCGTTCGTCTGATTACACCGAAATCATGATGGAGGACAGACTGTGGTCTCTCTCTTTCTCTTGTCTTGCTTAAGTGTGTGTGTGTGTTTTTGGCAGTTACAGTCGAGCATCTTCTGTTATTGAAAGCAGTTGTTTGACACGGTTTGACCCAGTCTCCCTAGTTTCTTTTTTGACCCACATAGTTGGATTGTGTTATGAACTTGTTTATGTGTGTCCTTGAACAGATGGAGTCTCGGCCGCAGAGACGTCAGCTATCGAGACCTCTACCCAGCAGGCCTTGCACTACGCGCTGACTGGAGCCACACAACAAGTCCAGATCCACCGTATTGGAGAAGACGGGCAGGTGCAAGTTGTGAGTATCGTCATATCATCGTCATTATCAAAAAGGCTAGCCCACACAAATAATTGACGATGGGCAGTTGAATTATTAGAAAATAATGACAGATAGATAGAAGAACCGCTTGACGTCGTGGGCGTATCACCACCTCGGGTGTGCATTATTTTCTAATAATAGTCTGGAGTTGGAACACCTCAAGACATTGTTCAGATGTTGTATTTCAAGACATTCGTCCGTTTTTTGTCCTTAAAATGCTTTTGTGTTCTCATGCATCTCATCCAACGTTTGTGCTCCAACAACAGCGTCGTTGTTACCTCGCTAGTGAGAAATGACATGTTCCTTCTGATCTATCTATCTATCTATCTATCTATCATTTTATCGTTCTATTTATCGTTCTATCTATCGTTCCATCTGTTTGAACTAATATTCGCCAAAAATTTTACTTTTGTAAAAGTTAACCCAAAGCTAAAGTTTAGCTAAAATTCTATTACTAATAAAAGTAAAATAAATATTTATGAATTACAATTAAAAGTACAGTGTCAAGTACATGACTCTGTTCGTAATAATTATATTATTTTGTTATTTTATAATAATAATTTAAATGCCTTTACGATGTGAGCACAAATTAAGATGTTCTCGGCCCTAAAAAAAGTTCAGTAACCTGTAAATGAGTTGAGGGTGGGCTCTTTTGACTTAGACCAGTGTGCAGACAGCTAGCAATGCCATAGCAACCACCCAGAACACCCTAGCAACCATGTAGTGCCACCTTGGTAACCACTGCCAAGGTGGCAACAAATCTGGCACAGACAACCACCACTTTTTTCATCAAATGTAAATATCTGGCTTAAATTAATGCATTTGCAAGACCACACATCTCGTACCGTAATGCATACATACCCATTCATCTCAAATCTGTCTCAGCTGCGCAGGCAAACACATAAACGCACTCAAACATCTCCTGATCTCTGTAAGAAGGTCTCGCTCTCCAGAACTCTGTTTGAGTGCTGGTGCTCAGAGGAAAGGCTGATCCCATAAAGCGTTTTAATGCAGCTTTAGCAGCAGAGTTTCCGCTGTGCCCCATCATGCACTCTCTTTTGAGGACCTAAACATGATCTCTGACTTTCACAGCTGCATGAGGTCACCTCCACCCCGACACACCATCCAAAATATGATCTGCTTACTGTTGTGACAGCACAATCGAAACCGTAAATACACAATGAACAATCAAGAGCCTTAAATCTGCGGAGGAGTTCTTGGCATCAGTGCACTCAGAAACGGATCTGTCATCTGTTGTTTGTGTAACATCTCCCCGAACCAAACCAAACTCAATGGTCAGCTTTTGTCAAGCCCTTTGGCTCCGGCAAATGTTCAGTTTTTGTCACTCGCACATAATCGATAAATTTAGCCTGTCAGATACGGCAAACAATGACATGCTCTTTTTAGGTTTTGAGTGATCGCTTGTGTAGCTTTTGTTATAAACTTTCCTAAATTTTTTTTCATGAGAATTTTGGGAAAGCAGTGGAGGAAAAATCTGATTAACAAAACCAATAATATCAAATGTTTAGGAACACGTCACATTATTTGTGGAAAAATGTTTTATTTCTATACCACAGTACTGAACTACCAAGAAACATGAGACTGAAAAGTCTTCCAAGGTTAACCATGATACATTTGGCGTGTTATAATAATTAAATACAGTAAACACTTTACTGAAAGACGCCAATGTAATGCAGCATTACATTGTAATTACTGGTCAATTTGGTGTTTTAGTTTCAAATGGTTGACAAGTCAAAATACCAAAATTCACTTCATTAGTGATTTAACTTTGAATTATTATTATTATTTTTTTTTTTTTTGTGGAAACCATGATATACTACCATTCAAAAGTTTGGTGTAAGTTTTTATTTATAATTTTTTTTTAAAGAAAGAAATGAAATTAATACTTTTATACGTCTTCTGAACATTCCTGAAAAATAACATGTGTCATTGTTTCCACAGGAATATGAAGCAGCACAACTGTTTTCAAAATTGATAATCTGAAGTGTTTCTTGAGCGGCAAATTGGATTGATTTCTGATAGATCATGTGACATTGAAGACTGGAGTAATGATGCTGAAAATTCAGCTTTACATTGCAGGAATAAAATACATTTTAAAATACATTCACATAGAGAAACGTTATTTTAAATTGCAATAATATTTTACAATATTACTGTTTTTACTGTATTTTTTATAAATAAATGCATCTTTGGAGAGCATGACTTTCAAAAACATTCAAAACCTTAATTATTCTAAACTTTTGACTGCTAATGTATACATATTTTGTCTGTTTATGACTTTTTGTCTTGCTATGGCTAATTTCAAAGCTAGCATTTTATTATTTTACACACGGTTAAATAATATTGGCACACATTAAATTGTCAAACATAATTATTTGACAACAGCTTGATTGGAAATGACATTCATTTGGATGTTTTTTCGTTCCCAGATACCGCAGGGACACCTCCACATTGCTCAGGTGCCACAGGGCGAACAGGTGCAGATCACACAGGACAGCGAGGTGAGCATCACTTCCTTTAGATTTCTTGTTCCTTCAGTCTCTCATTCTTCTTCTTCCTCTGAGGCTCTCCATCCCCTCATTTGTGTTTCCCATATAAAGGTCTCAAAGACACAGGCCATCAAACTTCACCACCTATCCATAATTATTCCTGACCTACCAGTTTTACTATGATCTTTGGCAGAGATATTTCTCTAAAGCACTATTTCTAAGGCTCTTGAGTACTCCGTGTCCTAGATTTAAGCAGGATTATGTAAAGGTATCCACATATATGTAATCATTATTTTGATCAAATCAAGCCATCATCTTGGAAGGAAGAGAGATGAGGGAGGAGAAGAGAATAAAAAATGCTCAAAAGCTCTTCCTGTGCTGGTTTATAAAAAAAATTGATGATGACTTTTCAGTGCTCATTTTTTGGGTAAATTCTCAGTAATATTGTTTGTTATTAAGTCCAGAGCTTAGTAACAGCGTGCCACTTCATCCAGCCTCCACTCACAAAGACTGCCTTTGTAATATATTTGGCGTGCCTCATCAAAACCATTTATCTGGAAGAGTTTGTAAAGGAAATGAGCCATCGTAAGATCATTTCCCTTTATCTAGATATTTGTCAGGTGTGTGTGTGTGTTTTACAGTCAGATGGAGAACATGATTGAAAGTTTGTTGTGGTGCAGCAGTTTTTTCCCTGATTAATTAATTGAATATACATTCCACAGATTGTCTCAAAAATTTGACATGTTCATATTAATTGTTAGATAAAGTTGGAAAGTCAAGACCTCTGAGATGGGAGAGGCCAAAATGACCATTTAAAGAATGAGGTTACAAACATTTAATGCTACTTTAATTTTATGCTAGATGATCCGTATTTAATAGTTATTGCAACAAAAATGTAAAAAAAATTGTACGTCTAAGGCACCATTGACAACACATTTTTGCATTCCACTGCTTTGCATTTCCATTGGTTTTCTTTGTAAACGTGCATTTTTTTTTTTACCATTACACATTACACAATAAAAACATCACGCTCAAGTTCAAACTCATAAAAAAAAAAAAAATTGTCTAGAGACTTTGCTTTTTTTCCCATTCCACCACTTTTTTTAAACACAGAAATCCCTGTCTGCATGAAAGTGCTCTGATGCTTTAAAAAAGAAATGTGTACTTCATTCATGGAAACTGGCAATTGCTGAAATTTGAAATTATGTCTTTCCTGTCTTGTAGGGCAACCTACAGATCCACCAAGTACATGTTGGGCAAGATGGCCAGGTAAATGTAGGTAACCTTTTACATTTATTGGTCCGTGTCCATGTGACAGTGTCTTTGTGTGTCCTCTCTCATATTGTTGCTTGTTCTGAGAATATGATGTTTGGGACAAGCGTGCACTTTCTGTTTCTCAGCTCACATCAAAGAGGAACTCTAGATCAGACAGGGCTGAAAAGCAATAGAGGCCTGTGTGGAAATTCAACTCCTTTCACACGAACAACACACATTCAAAATTTTGGATTGTTATCTTCTTTACTACACCACCTTATGTTGAGAGACCCGTGTGTCCGTGAGGTGCACAACCGATCAGTACTACATAGCAACCACTCAGAACATCTTAGCCAGTGTTATTTTAGTATCATGGAGAACTATTATAGAGTTATTCATATCTTTGATTATTTTATGTTTTCCATTTTAATTTTAATTTTGTGTTGTTTTTGTCATTCTTATTATTTATTGTTTAAATAAGTCTACTTTTTATACATTTTATTTCATTTTTATTTTTAGTCATTTTAGTAAATTAAACTAAATAAAAATGTGAAAAATTGCCAACTGGCTGAAATAAAATAAATCAAAGTTTTTTTTTTTTTTTTTTTTTTCAGTAAATGTTTCTTTTTTTGAAGTACAATTTTTTTTTATGTTAGTTAAATATAATACTTAGCAACCGTGTAACAACATTTAGCATTGAAGTGGAACATACACTGCAGTGCACTTTTTCTTCCGAAAATGAAAATCTAGATTGTACTTTGCCATTAAGGCAGCTTTTTCTGTTTTATCAGCACTTGTTTTTTCTAGCCTGTTTCCCAGTTCCA